GTTGTCACTATTCACAGCATTAATTCAAACACTCATATTTTTCATTGTAGCTTAACTAGACTCTTCAAAACTCATAATGTGATTATTTGGTCTTTTGTGGATTCAATCCCTACGTACGGCTGCGTTTGATGTGCACTTGCTGGGTTATCTCATGTTAAATTTTTTTTTTTTTTGGATAAAATAGGTTTAAAATTTTGAGACATCGATGGTGTATTTAAGGCCTGCATGAGAGAATCCTCACCAGCCTCACTAACCAGTTCTATGATGCTTACATTTATCGTGAGTCTACTTCTATTGTTATTTGAAAGCAGAAACGATATTCTAGCGAAGGGACGGATGCGGAATGAATGTGAGTTCATCCCAATTTCAGATGGTACAGAAACAACACGAAGGAAATTTTCAGCATTTAGCACAGTTAGATGAAACCTCAGAGATATATGTCCTAGATTACTCTTAAGGTTGTTCAAAAACCAAACTCCTATTTGATTTTTTTCTTTAAGGGAAACTTAATCTATGGTGTCTCTATTCTTGAAGCCTAGTAAGTAGACAACTTATGATGAATCAAGTCTGTAAATTCTGATTCTTGTTCCAACTATTATGGCAAATAAGGATGCAAAAATGTATCAATTAGAGAATGCCATAGAACACAACATGAGAATAATAATCCAAGAAGCATCACATTCAAAGTACAAGAACAACCGACCTGTTAAGGAAATGGGAACATAAAACAATAAACGAAGGCAGAGTCTAGTAGATTAGGACTAACCACATTGATACCAAACTAATGGTTTTTGATTGAATCAGAGGTCAAGTTTAACAGGATATCGATCTATGCAGTGTTCCCACGGACTACTAACCGAAGGCTTGACATTGTGTAGAGCCACCCAAACCGCGCTGTTACACTTAAACCCACTTCCAAAAGCAATCTGCCAAACCCGGTTCCCTTTCCTCATCCTGCCTTTGGCCTCTATGTAAGCAAGCTCATACCAGATCGAGCTCGAAGAAGTGTTTCCAAATCTGTGCAACGTCATTCTCGATGCTTCGACATGTGTCTGCGAAAGCTGCAAATTCTTCTCGAGCTCATCAATCACTGCTCTACCACCAGCATGGATACAGAAATGATCAAAGGCAAGCTTGAAATCCGGGATGTAAGGCTTCAGCTTAGCATTAAACAATTTCTTTGTAACCAAAGTCGCGAAAAACAGAATCTGTTCGCTTATGGGAAGAACCAAAGGACCCAAAGTAGTGATATTCGCCTTAAGCGCTTCCCCAGCTATAGCCATAAGCTCCTTAGACAAAGAAACCCCGGTTTTCCCATTCTCGTCCTGTTCTTGATAAACACAATTAAAAGCCTTCTCACCAGCTCCTTTATGAGTCCTAACCGTATGAACAAGCTTGTACTTTGACCGTCTACGATCCCTAGGCTTATTCGACAACAAAATCGCCGATCCACCAACCCGAAACAAGCAATTCGGGATCAACATTGCTTTCTTATTACCAAAATACCAATTCTGAGTAATATTCTCAGTACTAACCACAACAGCATAAGTATTCCTATGAACTTGCAACATATCTTTAGCTAAATCAATAGCGATAACACCGGCACTACATCCCATTCCACCTAGATTAAAACTCTTAACATTTCCCCTAAGCTTATACTTGTTAACAATCATAGCAGATAACGAAGGAGTTGGATTAAACAAGCTACAATTCACAACCAACACACCAATATCCCTAGGGTTAATTTGGGTATTCTCGAAAAGCTTGTCGAGAGCACCGAACATAACCTGCTCAGCTTCTTGACGCGCCGCCACCATTGTCGGAGTTGGAGGGATGCAATGTAAAGCCTCAGGGAGATAAGTCTCTTCTCCTAAACCAGATCGTTCAAGAATCTTCCTTTGAAACTCGAGCGAAGAGTCGTTGAAATCTTTGATTAATCTAGAATGATCCATGAATTTCTGGTAAGGAACCTGAAGACTCGCCGGAGGAAGATAACAAGAGTAATCAACGAGGTAAACGGATCTGGGTCGGGTCATGATGAAGACGGTGGAGCCGAAAACAGCTAAAGCAGAGAGGATGATGAAAGCGACGAGATTGTATTGGAGATGAAGCCAAATCTGGTAGAGATCTTCTGGTGTTAATCGAGAGATCTCAGTGACTAAAACCGCCATTAAAGGAACCAAACAAAGCTTGAAGAGATGAGTAATCAGGTAATGGTAACCTAATTTGACGTATTTCATGTTCACGCTCTGTAAGAAATTCGGAAGCTTTCGTGTTCCGTTCTCTGTTTGGATCTGTACGGATCCTCCATTGACTGGTTCTGAAGCTTCCATGGTCGAAAAAGGCGTCAACTTTCTCAGATGAAACACAGAGGCGAACGTGCACGAGTATGTGTGTATATAAATAAATGCGAGATTCGAAAGATAAAAGGTTTTTTTGTTTCTTTGAGATGGTGGGTTAAGTGGGTTAGAGAGGACTAGAATGAGTGAAAAGAAGCCATTGATGAACACGTACAAGGAGGATTTAGAAAGACGCGAGGAGGGAAAGGTGATCGAAGAGAAAACAGTTGATCCGCCCAAAACTTGTATTTTAGAGAGAGAAGAAGAAGAAAAGGAGTGGCTTTTATTAGATTTGTTTCTTGGCCTTTCCTGTGTTAGAGAGTGTATATATACATATATAGCACAAAAAAAAGGTACATTCACACGAGTCGCAAAAAAAAAGGAGCTAAGGAAGGGTAAATATGTAATTTCGTCGGTAAGTAAGTGTGTGATTTCAATTAAAAGAGAGATAAGGCTGGCATTGCAATGTGTTTAATGGGTAGTTAGTGGGTGAAGAAGAAATGCGGAAAATGCAAACTTTTAGTATTAAATTTGCCAACTCAAACTTGGGGGTATCAAAACTGTTATTCACATGCACTTCATTTACTAATAAAAGTCCAAAATATTTTTGTGAGGTTTGGCAGAACAGTCTTGTAAGACTACTGTTCTATAATGGCTATTATTGATCAAGTACGTGCAAAAAACAAATATTTATCTTGTTCAAACAAAGAAAAAGCAAATTTTTATTTATGTAAATTACGAACATTGAAATTGTTGTTAGAAAAATCATCTCTCTAATTTTCAGAAACTTACCAAATAGTATCTTCTACATGTGATTTTTTTTTTTACGGCACTGATGTTGTTTCATATATTTCGTAACTGCCTATGTTTGAGGAAAT